TAGCCCCAGCAGAGAAGCTTTCCTATGAACTGCTAACATTTTCCTATAAGTAACTAAATAAGTAACCACAACCAATGTTAATACAAATCTTTTGCACTTACACATCTTCAGTTCATCCAGAGGGGAGGTTTACTCCTAATTAGTATCTGATCGACTGTGCAGTGTTTTCGGTATCAAGGTGTTTAGTGTGAAAGGATTCAGAACGTTCAGTTCAGTGTTTTAGGCCATTACATGCAATCTGAACTAATTAATTCTCTGAAGCTCAGCTCACTTTTATGTATAATTTATGGTAGTACACCTGAGAGAGAACTAAATATAAGGTAAATAATAAATATTACAGCAGTAAAGAATAGAGGAAAAAAGCATTGTAAATAAAGAATAAATAAACACCAGTACCAGAAACAAGTTTACATAATAAATCTGGCTCCTGTTCCAGTTGAAGTAAAAGTGGCACTGGGAGCAATATTTAGATCAAGAAAACATTATACAAAATGTTAACAATACATAGAAACTCGACTCAGACCCTTCTCTTAATTTTAATCTAGAACTGAACAAAGCCTCCCCTGCCTATCTCTATGTATATTACCTTGAATTCACTTGTTTAAGATAAAAGCTTCTATTTTGACCTTTCCAGTCCCCAGATAGAAGAGCTGTTTCACACTGGGAATTGTGGCTAATTATCCACCTAACCTGACACAAACCTTCTCCATCCCAAGGGTTTGGTTACCTAACTCTGAACTCACTTGTTTCCATACACATGGCATGAAATTCAGCTCTTTAAGCAGGTCTAATACTAAACCCATACACCATTCTGTTGGGTTAAGTGGTGCACAGATGTGGTGTGCCAGAAGTTGTTACAAATACATCACATCCAAGTGAGTTCAAGTTACAAGCCATGAAACTGGTCCATCCTAGAAAGTCCTCCACAGGTAACTTGGGGGTTTCCTATGGCAGAAATCCAGCAGGGGAGTTAAAAATACTGTTGTCAGCTATAATTTAATATCTTCTGGATCTCAGGAAAGTCAGAGTCCCATTTGTCCACCTGGGACATATTTATTAGTTATCCCAAAAGTTAATTACAAAAACAAAAGCACTGTACTAAATAAATATATTTTTAATGGGAATTTTGTTGGCAGCTTATTTATGAATTACTACCCCATGATTTATATTTAGAACAGTGGTACCCAACCTCTCTGATGCCACGGGCTAAATAAGTGGCACTGGACTGGTCCACAGGCAGGATCTAGCATGGGGTCAGCACTTGGGGTTGGTCCATGGGTGCGATCTGGCATGCCAGCCTAACTCTGAGTATCACATCCAGCCAGACTGATCATGCATACCAACCCTGCTTGCCAGATACAGCCATGGCCTGACCCCATGCACTGGCACATGGGGCCACATCTTCCAGCCTATGGGGCTGCCCAGATGTCCACAACTTTGGTGGTGGGGGAGTGGAGGAAACACTGATTGCAGCTCTGGGGCTCTACTGTGGCTCTAGCAATTAGCACCTCTACTGGTTCCCTCCTGCCAAATTTCTACTAAATGCAGGCTGGATGACATGACTTCATGAGCCAGATCTATCCTGGAGGCCATAGGTTAAGCACCAGTGACTTAGCAAGATAACTTGAAATTCTGTCAATTTGTTCAAATGACTATTCAAGTTTTACTTGTTAATCATAGGATATGCTTCCACAAATGTATAGAAACTACCAGATCCAGCAGATAGAAATCTGGGAACTAAGGCAGCTTTGAACAGGCTTAATACATGAAAGAATAAGCAACAATGTAACTGAGGTGGTGATTGGGGCTGCCTTTGTGTAGTGGAGGGAAGAAGGAAGCGGAGAAGGCATTCAAAACAGCAGTAGCTGTCACTGCACTGACAACTGGCACTGCTGCAATCAGCATGGTGGGAGTCAGAAATGCCTTGCGCACTGGCAGCTGCCCTGGGCGTGGGCCTGGGCCTGCTCTGCTACCCCTCTGGGAAGATGACGATTCACATCAAACACAGGTGACAATTCACATTAAAATGTCATGCTTTCCATTATTCTGTAGTGGGAGGCACAGGCCTCTTCTTCAAAAATCTCAAGTGTATTTTAACTAACTACTTCCTACCATTGTAGTGGCAAGACCGATCCCTCATTCCTCTGCTTTATCAGTGGCAAGTTAGGGTGTTCCCAATGCTTTCAAGCACCATGCCTAATAGTTGTGGATGAGGGCTGTTCATTTAGTTTCAGGATAGGTTAGACAAACACTTTTACTAGACAGCTTAGATAGGGATGATCTTGCCTTGAGCAGGTTGCTGGATCAGATGACTCTGTGAGGCCTCTTCCAGACCTGATTTCTTATGATCTTGCAATTCAGATGATATCATGTATCACTGCCTGATGCAGGCTCTCAGTAGTGGCTGCTGCTTCTCAATTTGAATATCTTGAGTCGCTCCCCAAGAAACACTGCTTTTAGGCTAATGCAGCTGCCAATAACTGTAAAAGAGCTCCCAAAATGCATCTATGCTATGCATCTGTTATGAAGCTGCATTTTGACCCACTGTATGATGCATGAAATTTATCTAAAAATTTTTTTATGAACACCGTACCTATTTTGACCACAGCCAATACCAAACAAGACAAGAATCGACCTTGAAATCCAACTGAAATGAATAATCCCTCTGGAGCCACTGGGGCTATGGAAATGAGCATGAGTACAAGAACAAGGGCCAGATTTGTAAAGTATTTGCATCCATAACAATACAGTAAGAGCCTACCCATGGGACTTTCAAAAGCATCTAATTCCATAGGAATCATGAGACAGTGCAGACAAGTGACAATTTTCACCTGATCTAGCCATAGAAAGGAGTTTATAGGTATGACTAAACACAAGTGCACAGCTGCAAACAGCTTAAAATGGCTGAGTGAAAAATCTGACTTCCGTTGCATGAGGAATCAGATAAAAATGTTAAAAGAAGTAGCATCTTTTGTAACTTGTATCTGCCCAGCTCCCAGTCTGTGGCTGTTTTCAGAATGGGGGGGGGGGGAGAG